ACATTGTGGGACATTGTGGGACATTGTGGGGCATTACGGGACATTGTGGGACATTGTGGGACATTGTGGGGCATTACGGGACATTACGGGACATTGTGGGGCATTATGTGACATTAAAGGGCATTGTGGGGCATTATGGGACATTGTGGGGCATTATGGGGCATTATGGGACATTGTGGGGCATTATGGGACATTACTGGACATTGTGGCGCATTAGATGACATTGTGGGGCATTAGATGACATTACAGGGCATTGTGTGACATTACGGGACATTGTGGGGCATTATGGGACATTACGGGACATTGTGGGGCATTATGGGACATTGTGGGACATTACTGGACATTGTGGGGCATTAGATGACATTGTGGGGCATTAGATGAAATTACGGGGCATTATGGGACATTGTGGGACATTACGGGGCATTGTAGAGCATTGTGGGACATTACGGGGCATTGTAGGGCATTATGTGACATTACGGGGCATTATGTGACATTACGGGGCATTATGTGACATTACGGGGAATTATGGGACATTGTGGGACATTACAGGGCATTGTAGGGCATTGTGGGACATTGTGGAGCAGCAGGCCTCCTACCTGTCATGCTTGAACTCCTGTGCGGCCCGCAGCAGCTCCTGGATGTTCTTGGTCACCTGCTCCGTCTTCAGGATGACATCCTCGGTGCAGGGCAGCGTGGGGTCCGGCTCACCCGCCTCTCCGAAAGCCCCGTCCTCCAGCTCGGCCCGGACCTCATCCTCGCTGCTGCGGCCCGCACTGCACACACACAAGCATCACTCTGGGCACGTAACAAGACCTGCCCATGAATGACGGAAAGAGCCCCAAGCTCGCCTCCCTCCCCACCTGACTGACAGGTCATAGGTCTGGGTGTTGTCATAGTCGCTGTCAGTACCACTGGTATGCTTCTCTCCTTTTGGGGCCTGGGGACACAGCACCATGAACAAAATGAGTCACCACAGGGGGGCAGCACTGAGGCAGCACATTACACACTCTCCGTTTTTGGGCTTTGCTACATCACACCTTGTGTCACCGTGCTGGAGATGAGTGGGGGGCAGGGGGATAGGGATGGGGCGGGG